GGAAAAAATTTCCTTTTTGATCTGCATATAATACAAGTATCTATATATTTTTATAATACCTTCTGGACTTAGTATATATATATATAGTATTACCATATAATATTGCTGCATATCTTATGTAATCATTGTTGTAAATGTCTTCAAATGAAAATCATAGCTTTTCGCGAGCAACGAATCGTAGTTTTATGACACCTGGCAGGTGTTCAGAGTACTTCGACACACTCACGTTTACACCCTCGTCGAACTCTTTCTGGCGACAATACGACTCGACTTGACTTCTAAAATCGTCTCCTCGAAGGGAAGGAAGCAAATAAAAACAAGATGCTGATAAACAATCAAATAAATCGCAGTTGTGAGGGTACTTCCAAGACTTTATTCGCGAAAACAATTCCGCGCTTTCAAAGCGTAGAAACTAATATTAGATTAATGAAACTTTATAAGGATTGTGAAACGAGGCATAAAGAATAAGCGTGCAAGCATAATGGTCTTCACAATTACGCCAATTTGATTTTCCAATTTGAGAAAATTCCACAAGTACATTCCATTCGAAGTGTAACTAGTCGTTTCCATGATTTATACGATTTTATACGATTTAATTTGCAATATAGTTTCGAAATCAGTCTAAAACCATTATTTATATCGCGTAATATGTACAATACACGCATACACAATGTACATATAATAAAACTCATTAAACATATCCGTTAATTTATTATTATTATTATTATTATTGTTAATGTCAAAGTATAGCTCATTTTCGTATAATTTTAATACAACTAATAATACAAATTTTGTTCTTCCTTAAAACATATTAAAGTTTTTAACATTTTAAAAAGATTTATAATTATAGTAAATCTAGAAAAAAAGATATATATATGTGTATAAGTACAATAAAATGCCAATTTCACATTTTCGTAATATAAAAATAATAATCATTTTTTATTTTTATATAAAGTTTAATATTTATAAAAATTTGAAGATATTTTTAAACGGGAAAAAACACAGAATTCTATGAAAAATTATTTATGTATAGAAATTTAAAAGTGTAAACTATTTAAGATACAAAAAGTTATAAAACTGTTTAATTTTCTTCTTTCACCGATTATGTTAAGAATAATAAAGTTAGAATACTTGGAAATTGTTCGAAGTTCTAGACAACTCGGGCGTGTGTCAAGAGTTCTAATAACTAATCTTACACTCTAAATGAAAAGTTTGAAAAATAAAAAAGTTTAATAATAATTTTTCAATTCTAACAAGGAAATTTTCAAAGTTTTCAGAAGTAAAATTTTTTCAGAAACCCAACTTTCTTAGGAATTCTGAATAAGTATTCTGAATAAAGTAATATATTACACAATTTTTTATATCAAAATTATTAAAATTTGGAATTAATTAATTTAAAATAAAGATTGACCAATTTTAGAAAATATAAAGTAGGTAGCTGCATCTAGAAATAGACTTTGTATAACTGCATCCTTATTTTTTTAATCATTAAAATTACATATTTTGAAACATACACACACACACACTCACACACTCACATATCAAGAATTTTTTAAAGAAAGGATCAGAATTTTATCAATTATACAATAAAATACTGAAAATACTCATTTTAATATTAATTTTACAGAGATCTCAATATAAATATTTTTTACAGAATCTTATGTCTGCATATTAATATGCAGAAGCAAATCAAAAGTTGTAGGTATATTTAAAAAGAATTAAATTTTTTAGTGACATTCTATAATAAAATAAATATGTTAGAAATAATATATATAAGCGTCTTTAATTTTCAAATATTTTGCATTAATGATATCTTGATGCATGCAAATATAGATAGCTTCTAAAAAGAAGAAAATTTTTCCCTTGGCGTCGCCTTGAATTACGGAAGGTTGATTCCACTAATGTCCTGTCGTCATTCTTGAAGACCTCTCTAAGGTATCGCAAATGCAGTACAAGCGTGATAGGATGTTTCCATACAATTGACCGGGAGTTTCCGCACATCTCACGCGTGGTTAAGATGAAATTGTTCCATGTTCTTGCGATTACATTGTAAGCACAACATAATGATTATATGATTTTTTTTTAACTATGTTTATACGTGTTCTTATTTTTAGACTATATTTATTGTTATTAAATTAAAAAGCAATTCCCAGCAATGTAAACATTTGCAAACAAATATACACACACAGACAGATAAATGATCATTCTATTAATCATAGCGATTATAGTATTATATATAATTACAGTATTTTCAATTATATTCTCTTATCATATCTATTATATCTAGTATGTAATACATGTATGTTTTCAATTATTAAAAATGAAATGTAATAATAACAAATTTATAATAGATAATATTTTATAAATGTAATAAACGTGTGTGAATCTATCAGGAATCCTATCAAATCTAAATTCTGGACATTGTGCGAGTGCTTGATGTACAAAATGATTTAAGCCGTTAGAATTTTGGGATTCAAATGAATTATACGTATATCGATCTTGGCGCACTAGACTGTACAAAACTAGAACATTTGATAAACCTGCAAAGAATTCCGGAAAGCTGAAAAAGCGAGCATATAATACATATCTATTCTCACAATCAATCTAACAAGACTCCTTCAAGTCTATACTTGCAGTATAATTGTAAGCGGCTGAAATGCTATATAGCTTAGAATATATTTGAGGAATTATAACTTCGAATCAATCTCTGCCACAGCTAAATCGTTAGTCCATAGTACACAATAGTCCGAGATATAGTCCTACATTTGACATAAATTCTATATCAAATTCGTAGTGCTCGAGAGTTATATAAAAGATAGTTTCTCTCCTTTTAATCTACAGAACAATTACAAGCATGAGTGATTGCAGCTAATAAAAAAGTTATCGCGACCAATGCCATTTATTACTCTATATTCTAATTAAATAAAGCACATTCTATAACCATATTATTCTACTACTATGATAAGAGCGTTAATTACAACTGTAATAACAGTATTAATTACATCGATTTTCCGGTTTTGTTCTGTAAGCGATGATCAACTAATTAAAAAATGATTGTATTCGTTCCTAATTACTACGTGTATACTATTAATTACTATATACATAAATACTCTCGATTATTACATATAAAATACATTATATATACTTAAATAATTCATATATTAACTCATGTACAGAAATTTAAAAACGTAATGATCACAGAAATAACTATATCGATTTCGTGGTGTTAATCTACAGAGTAACTACAGTAGTAATCACAACTAATGAAAAGATTATTGTCATTACTGCTAATTACTGTTCCATATTCTAATTAATTATGAACAATACAATGATTACAAAAATAATTACAATGACTTTATAAATTTAATTCATAGAATAACTCAATCACATTGTTCAATATACTATACAACTGAATTATTCGTGTTCTACACGTTTTTTTGATTCAAAAAACTAAAAGCATCAATTAAGTAATTACTTATAACATTTATTATATATACACTTAAAAAAAACAACTTTATAAATATTTTCTAAAAATGTTAAAAATTTTACGTATGATTAAAATACATATATAAAAATCACTTAACAATTTTTATATAAAAATTAACTTAAAACAAACCTATCGTGTATAATTAAGGAATATTGTTGTGTGTATTAAGAGTTAATTCATATGCATATATAATCATACAAACTATCATAAAATTATTTGCAACTACTTTATTTATAACTTGCAGGCATGACATGATCGCAGAATTCATTTGACGAAATTATCGAATGTTTATACTTGTTACCATACGAGTAAACGTAACTCAACACAAGATATGACAGTGTTACTTGATTACCAACGCGGTACACCATGGATAAAGCTATAAATCGCACAGAATTTACCTAACAAACTATCATAAATTATTTATTATTTAAATATTTTAAAGTTAAAATTTTCTACAAATCTCTTGTATAAATCTCCAATTACTTTATCATGATATCAAATTTTTTTGTATTAAATAAATGAAGAGAAAGAATAAAAAATTGAAAAAAATTAATTTTTTTTAATTGTTGCATTTTCTTATAGAAATATTAAAAATATAATTAATTACATGCACAATTTATATCTGTTTAATAATAATTAGGAGCACGAAAAACTTTCTATATACTAATAATAAGACATCATAAAATGTAATCTTGCCTCTCTCCCTCTCTCTCGAGTAACTAAAATAAAATAACTTTTAATTTATTTAATGTTATATTCAATGACGCACCATTTATAATTAAATTTTTCTTTTAGGTCTCTTTATGTGCAACCATAAACTCCGAAGACCGTGACTGCACCCGGTTAAAGAAAATCAATATGCATCACGAGCGCAGCTTCATTTGTGCGAAAACAAAGACTATCCTTAATACCAAGACACAGTATCACAATGACGTCAGAATCGTCATGGCAACTCCCTTTGGTGCACCCACGCTGTATGTATTATTGCATCAAATTTAATCCACCAAAACACAAAAATTCATCTGATTAGAGAATTAAATCCTATTAGTGTTTTGTAGTTGTACCAATTATTTCAATAGAGAAAGATGATATTTGTACATACAGAACAAATTGAGACAATGTAAAAAAAAAATAAAAATATATAAATATCAAATGAAATATTATATTTTTATAGGTACACAGATATAGAAAATATCTTTGTCTTCTTACATTAGAACTTCAGAGAAAATAATATATAAAACTGACACATATCTCTTTATACTTTTATAAAGAATTTAGCATAGAAAATTAAAAGTAGATAAGTTACATAACCTTTTAAGTTTACAGTTAATCTTAATAAAAATTAAATTTTAATATAAAATATAATTTTTTTATAATATTTATCTTAAACAAATATATCAGCATATCACAGATTCAAAATCTTAGTCTGAACCTTAGTATTAAATAATAAAAATATTTAAAAAAAAATCTATACTATTTGCTTAATTTAAGTAAACATGTTTAAACTAAACTATTAATGTATATCTAAATTTTTAGAATCAGCTTCTGTAGTCGTAGCAGTGAGCATAGTGAATATCCTTTCAAACTCGTTTATAAATGGCTTGACTATTGCTGACTCGTTAGTCACTATAACATTTTCGAAATTTCCAAAAAATGCTGATTTAGTCCAGTTTATACTGCCTGTTATCAAAATGTTATTATCAATAATAACAAATTTATGATGCATCAAGACATCTAATTGTTTTGATATTGGTTTAATGCCTGTAATAAATAAAGTAAAATATCAATTATAAAGTTTATCATATATTATGTAAATATAATATCAGATTACATCTTGTAACTCTTTATGTGATATTTGTTTCTAATTAAATTATCTATATAATATGTTTCAAAATACTTGTCACAAACCTTCTTTGTAAAAGTTCATTAGTTGGCTATTATCATTACGCCCCATAGACTCTTCCATTATGATCCTCACAATAACATTTCTATTTTTGGCCTTTATAATTGCTTCTGCCAATTCTGGAAATGTGAAGAAATATATACATACGTCCAAAGTGTAAGTTGCAAAATCCAAATAATGTATAATCCTCCTGAAAATATATTAGATATGTTCTATATAATTATAAGTTATAAGAGACATATGAATAAAATATTATTTTTACCTTTATATCACATCGAAAAAGTTACCTTAAGTATCTTACTGAACAATTCAGCTTTGCACATGGTTTCATGATTGTCAAATGTGACCGACATAAAATACAGTCTTGTGAAAAAAACATAACTTCGAAGATTTTTGCTTCTGCATTTTTGCAAAGTTGTTTTGCGCAACCATTGAAATTAGAAATATTAATCACTTTCTTTCGAGAATGTTTATATCTCTTGTACAACTGCCACATTACTTCTGACACGATAACTCCAGAAGTTATTACAACAAAAATTCTTTTCATCATTTTTCATAGGCCTTAATTAAATAACTTAAAAATCTTTCAAGATTTCTTTGATATGTCAGAACCAATATCAGAAAACTTAAGTCACCTTAAAGGTTAGGGATCTCTTGCTTCAACATGACTAGTTTAGTTTCCACCAGTTTCCACCGAGAAGGTTCGAATCGGGTAGAATCGGGTTAAAGTCGGGTCATAGTCGAGTCGAGTTGAGCGATCTCTCTCTCTCTCTCTCTCTCTCATGCGGTGGGAACACCAAGAAACCCTACCTTATAAAATTTAGGGTTGAGTCCAAATCAAATGAGGTTTGGTGGAAACTAGTAGTGAGTATAGTGTACACTTTTAGAACTTAAAGTGAGATAGGTATATAGGCCTGTTCTTTTTACTGATGCCTGGTTTATGCTTCGGTCTTAAGGACTTAATCCTAAAATTCAGCCAATAGAGTTCAAATTTCGGTTAGAACTGGCAGCTTTATTGGTTGAATTTTAGGATCTTGGGATTAAGACCTGAAGCATAAACCAGGCATTAATGGGTCTTCTACAATAAGCCGTAAGTCACAAATCATAAGTCATAAGCTAGAAATGGACCAATCACAGTCGTCAATTTTTAGTTTCTTACTTCCGATTTATGACTTATGGCTTATTGTAGAAGACCCATTAATGCCTGGTTTATGCTCCAGGTCTTAATCCCAAGATCCTAAAATTCAACCAATTAAGCTGCCAGTTCTAACCGAAATTTGAACTCTATTGGTTGAATTTTAGGATTAAATCCTTAAGACCGAAGCATAAACCAGGCATAAGCCCATGGCACATAGAAAAACGTAAGGCCGTAAACGTAATCAGTAAGCGAATTGGCCAATCACAGTAGAGACCGTAAGGCCGGTAGCGAATCCAATGTTACGATTTCCTTACTGATTCGTCTTACGGCCTTTTCTATGTGTTTCTGGCTTTACAAGAAAAAGGCCTCCATGGCCGCTCTCAGGTTTCTCTCTGGTAATAACCGATCGCACACTGTTCGCACTGTGACCAGAGAGAAGCATGAGAGCGGCCATCTTGTAAATTCTTATTGGCCATGTAGCCGCTCCAACGGCAATCAACCAGGCCAATGAGAGCGGCCATGCCCGCGATTTAGATGCAACTTTATTTTGAAGCGCCTCTATGTCCACAAAACGTGGACATTGAACTATGTAGCCAATGTCCACGATCGTGTCGGTAATGTCCACGATTTTTGGTTCGAATCTTCCCTATATCTATGATTTTTTTGGTTCGAATCTTCCCTATGTCCATGATTATCGGTCAAAGAAATTATATAACCTCTTTGTTATCGGTCCATTAGACAGACAAAGACAAACAATTGATCGAAATAGAAATGGCTATGCATGCACAATAAATAAACGCTAGTAAACGCATTTTACATGCTTTTTATGATTATTTACTGGCTGACAAGAGGAGTAAATTTTCTTTATTTACAAAAGGCATACCAGAAACTTTAATGTATTATTATTTGTTTATGACACGTCACAATCCAATGTAGTCGCAGCGATTACTCAAAGAAGAATTAATTTATTGTAGTAATTAACAATTACTAATTATTGGTAAAGGGAAAATTAATAATTTTTTATTTTACTTATATCGTCCTTAATATTCATTTTTATTCACATCGTTCTACACGTTATTGATACTACATGCGAACAAAGGGTGGAGAGACGTAAATAAAAAATCATAAAATAGAAAAATGTAAAATCAACGTTATTTATTTAACAGGAAAAAAGCCGATATGAATTCATTTAATTGTTTAAATTGGTATTTAATTTTCATAAATATGAATATAGTTTCTAGCCTATATTCAGAATATGTTTCAATGTTTGGAACTTTACAGTAACGTGAATTATGTTTTAAATACGCACTATCATCGTAAAATTGCGTTTTAAATATATGCCAACTTCTCTGTCCTCGAGAACCACACACTACACAGCATCAAAATCTGAAAATTACTGAACATTTTGCGCGTCGCGTTTTATATACTTCAATAGAAAGCTAGCGGTGCATGGCGGTGCAGAGCATCGAGCCGCATCGCGCTCATTGGTTGACTGCGAGTGGTGGGGTTCGAGTCTGATCGGAGCATATAAATACCGCGCGTAATTCGCAATTCTCTCTCTCTCTCGACATTTGAAATATAAAAACAAATACAAAAATGTTAGGATTTCAACAAAATGCATAGCGTTGATTTTTTTTATAAATATAAATTTAAAATAAAAAAAATTAATTATTGCTCTATAAATATCCTTTAAAGTTATTAATTATATTAATTATTAATTCTTTAAGTG